AACCTAAGCGCCCATCAACAAATGAATGCATAGAGAACTGTGGTTCTATTCACACAATGGAATACTATGCTGCATTGAAAAACAAGGAACTCATAAAATATTATCAAAATGGGTGACCCTGGAGGACATTATGCTGAGTGAAGTTTCCCAGTCACAACAGGACAAATACTGCATGGTGCCACTGTTGTAAAACAGGAGACTGACCTCGGGGTTGGGGGGAGACTGAGAAAGATGGATTCAATAATGTATACTGCACTGAATCGGATGAGGGAGAAAACTGTTTAAAAGGGATATGTGATTAGGTATTTCTGTCATGACAGGAGTCCAGAGCGAAGGCTGCATAGTGGAGTGGACCTGGGGGAGGGATTGTATAACAATGAAAGAATTTTTCTTTTTTACTTTTCGAAGAGAAGAGTGAACTGGGGGGAAGGGGTGGGCAGGGAGAAAAGTAGAACAATGAATGAATGGAAATCCAAAGTCCCGGTAAATTTTCATTAAAATTAATAATAATAATAGTAAAAAAAACCCAAGAAGAGTCTGTGGCACTAAGAGACATTATCACCAATGTCAGATGGATGTTTGCTGAAAGCAAAGAGTATCCGTGTTTCATCGATTATGCAAAGGCATTTGTGTGGATCACAACAAATTGTGGTTAACCTTACGGAAAATGGGAATCCCAGAACACTTGATTGTGCTTATGCGAAACCTGTACATGGACCAGGAGGCGGTCGTCAGAACAGAGCAAAGAAACATCGCATGGTTCACAATCAGGAAGGGCGTGTGTCAAGGATGAGACCTGTCTCTATACATTTTCAATCTATGTAGAACAGATCATGTAGGAAGCTGGGCTTTATGAAGAGGAATGTAGCATTAGAATTGGAGGAAGACTCATCAACAACCTACGTTATGAAGATGATACAACATTGCTTGCTGAAATTAAGGAGGATCTGAAGCGTTAAGGACTGTAGTCTTCAATATGGATTGAAGCTCAACATCAAGAAGACAAAGATTCTCACCACCGGGCCAACTGGCAGCACCAAGATGAATGGAGGAAGGATTCAGGTTGTTAACAGTTAAGCTTGCTGGGTTCCACAATCAACACTCTTGGCACCAGCAGTTAGGAAATCAAATAAAGAACTTCATTGGGAAAGTCTGTTGTCAGGGACTTCTCCAAAATGCTAAAGAGCGAATCTAGAGACAAAGATGCGCCTGATCCAGACCATGGTCTTTGCAATTACTTGCTATGCATCAGAGAGCTGAAAAATGACTAAGGAGAACATAAGAAGAATCGATGCCTTTGAGTTGTGGTTCTGGAGTTGTGGTATTGAACATACCATGGACTGCCAGAAGAACAAATAGGTCTTTCCTAGAGAGAGTAAAACAAAGTTTTTCCTTGGTGGCAAGGATTTTGAAGCTGTGTCTCACACAGTTTTGGGCATGTAGCCAGAAGGGACTGAACAGGAGAGGAAGACCCCTGATGAGACGGGACGGACTGACCTGGTGACTGGGGCAATGGGATTAGGTGTATTGGAGTCAGTGAGACTGGCCTAGCATAGGGCAGGCTTCGGAGCTACTGTACATAAGGTCACGAGTGAGGCACTCAAAGGCACATAACAACAACAACAGCAGCTACAGATCTCACTCTTTCACAAAGTCCTTCAAAATTTAAACTCCAGTATATGAAAAAAGCCATTCCCAATCCAAAATTCCAAAATACTTACCTTGTTTTCTTGCAGTTCTCTTACAGTTTCATTCTTATTATTTATTATTATTCTTATACTTATTATTGACACATTTGGAATTAACATGGAGTACGCTGTTATTGCTATGTACCATGTAGCTGGAAATGACTCATAAATGACCCTCTAGTGGGTTTTCAGAGGCTGTAAATCATGGGAGGAGACTGTCCACCTTTCTCCTACATAGCAGCTGATGGATCTGAACCTCGTGCCTTTGGGACTGCAGGACAGTTCGTACCAGCAGGCCACCAGAGCAGTCCAACAGGGTATATATAACCAGATTCATTTCCTCCATGTAAATCATTCTCACTTTTAAAAGATCCCATCTTTTCCATGTTGATTTGAGACGTCACTTTTATTTTCCATTTATTCCCTCCACACATTAGATCTATTTCTAGACTTTAAAACTTTTATACTTCATTGTTCTATTCAAGCACACAGATTACCCTGTTTTAATTGCTGAAACTTTAGAACAAGTTTTACTATATGATGGATTAAGTTCACCACTGTTACTTTTAACTTTCAGAAATTTATAGGCTATACTTATTAATTTTTCTATATCAGCTTTAGAATTACAAACCAAAGAAAGAACATATTTCTAGGTTTTAGTGGATTACATTCAATTTATGTATTAATCTGTGAGGAGTAACGATGTTATATTGTAGCTTCCTTTCCAAGTAATGTCACGTTTTCAATCTTTTGATCTCTTTTTTATCCCTTGGGAATGCTTTTAAAGATTCAAGCAGCATCAATGTTTCCTGTTAAGTTTACTTCTACATATTTATTATCCTGTTTTGGTTGTTTTCCCTCCTTTGATTTTAACTTCAAACTGGTTATTGTCTATATAAACAAAATCAACAAAATCAGATTTTGTCAAATAACCTTGTCCACTACTAAATTATCCTATTGGTTATCATTGTTAGATGGTTAATATTGGATTTCCTAGGTAACTGATCTTAATTTCTGCAGATATTTGTAGGTTTTTATCCCACTTCAAATGTTATTTATTTTTGTCTCAGTGCATTGTTAATACTCTAAAGTGTGAAAGTAAACATGCAATCAAGGTGCATGGATAATGAATGGAATACAAGTCAGACAGTGGTTGCAAATGTCCAGCCATCCTCTGAGTGAGATGAAGTTTCAGCATCCTGGCCTCCAAGGAGAACCCTGGTCGCACTTCCTTCAAGCACGTATGTTTGTTCTTCCGGCTGTCTATAGGATACTCCATACTCTCCACCAGCACCACAATTCAAAGGCATCGATCCTGCCTCAGTCTTTTTTAGTCACTGTCCAATTTTCAGATGGATAGGAAGTAACGGAAAAGACCATGGCTTGGATTAGGCACACCTTAGTCTTTATTTTATTATTATTTTTTAATTTTTATTTTATTTTATTATTTTTGTGTGAGTGTACCGTCAAATCAGATCTGACTGGTACAGGAGGAGATTGTCCCTCCTTCCCCGGCACAGCATCTGGTGGATTCAAATCGTGCACCTCTGGGGTTGTAGTTACAGCTCCTTACCATTAGGGCCACCAGAGCTCCCCTACACCTTAGTCTTTGATATCCTTGCCCTTTAGAACTCTGGAGAGGTCCTTGACAACAGATTTCTCCAATGCACCACCTGTCTGTCAGACTGTGGCACTATAGTGGCTCATTTATTGCTGGAGGCTGGAAGTTACAGCACTGGTATTTCAAATATCAGTAGTGTCACCCTCCATGGACAGGTTTAAGGGGAGTTTTCAGACTACTAAATAGGACTGGTCACCAGTTCTGAAAAGACTAGCTTTCAAAAACCCTATGAATAACAAATTGTAAAAAAGTTTTTATATTTTTCAAACATAAGGCAGAGAGAGAGGGTGGGCGGGCTTAAAGTCACTACGGAAAATACTCTGCTTTTGAAAGCCTTGCAGAGTAACGTCAGTATCTTGGCCTTTTGAGCAAGGAGTGAAATAAGGGAGAGAGAAGTCAATGCCAAAGCTCAGTGTGAATTAAGGACTGCTGCTCTTGTTCAGGACAAGGGAGAAGCATGAGGATTCATCGTGGGTCCTCATATTGGGATGTAGGTCAAGTTCAACGCTGGACTGTTTTGAATGTGGTCTGGAAGGCCCTAGTTAGGCTGTGAAGGGCTGAGGGAGAGGCGAGCATGCTCCTGCCCTCCTCGCCAGCCGCCTGGGGATATCCTGTGCAGGATACTGGATAATGGTGGAGGCATCTAGAGATGCCAGAGCTGTTCTCTGCATTCTGTTGAGCCTTGCCAACGTGCTCCTGCTTTTCTAAACTTGGCTAAGACACTGTCAACCCGGGCAGGGTAGAGTTAGCTGGCAGCTTCCATCCAGTATCTGCCAGAGGTCTGTGTGTCATACATAAGATGCAAACGGAAAAGGAGACGAGGCCTGATCTCCTGGCTGGTGCTTGCGGTGGTCTTCCTGGGACTCAGAGTTCCAATACTGAGCATTCTTGGCCTTACAGGCAGAAAAGGCTGCGTGTACAGCTTCTGCTGCAGCCTGGCTGAGTGACGGGGGCATGCTGACTCCTCGGGGTCAGTCCCTTTACCTGCAGAAAAGGGAGAAGCTTTCCTCTGCGTATTTGCAATGGGCGGGATAAGAAGTGGAGACCAGGTCCAGTTACTGGATATTTAGTAAGGAAATACGCTGCCAATATAATGGTAAACAGTTTGACTCTACCTGCTGCTCCGTGGGAGAAAGATGAGCAATTTCCTCCCGGGTGTTTTACTGTCTCTGAAAACCCACTAGAGGGTTAGTTCTGGGTCAGTTCTGACTGGACAGCACGTCATGACAACAGCAACAGGTCTGGGAAAGCAGTCCTTAAGTTAAACTTGGATGAAGCTCACAACCATCCAGAGAGGCGTTATCATTCCAACTCAGAGGAAGGGTGGGCAGTGTGCCCAGCTGGCCTGAAGCAGCATGGGGGTGGAGGGCAGGCCCCAGGCCTGTGCAGTCCCGCGCATGCTCAGCAGCAGAGCCAGCCCAAGGCCAGCACGAAACATGCGCTGGTGAATCGGGGCTGCACACAACCTGCTGCATACGAGGTGCCATCTGGGGCCAGAAGTTAGGCGCCCTGTGTGCACGTGCCCACAGAGTCAAAGCAGCTTCCTTCTGGAAATCAAAGCCATGGGTCATCTAATCCGAAGCAGGGGTTGTGTTTCCCCAGCTGACACCGCTAAGGATCACATCTGAGCTCGGGCACGTGATAGCACAGCCGGGCTGACGTGGTCACGTGCCAAAGCCCTCTCCACCCACCTCGCATCCAAGATGCCCTCGTACTCGGACAGCTGCCTCATGAAGCCGGCGTTGGGCCGTGCGATGCTGCGCTTCTGCCTCACGTAGTTGTAGGCCTTCTCCAGCGGCCAGCCGAACTCCTTCATGGCGTAGGCGATGACGGTGGACGCTGAGCGGCTGACCCCCATTTTGCAATGGACCAGGCACTTGGAATGGTTCCTCCTGAGGGACATCAGGGAGAGAGAAGAGCTGAGATTGCCTTCTCCAACGTTTCATGTCCCTCTAACTTTTTTTTTTTAAATACCCTGAAGTGTTCTTGTGGCCAGATCATCCTGGGCCCAAATTTTTAGAAAGATGACACACTCTTAGCCCTCAGCATGCAAAAGGAATGCAAGATAAACCGGGCTTTTCCACCTGGGCTTTGAAAGAGACAAGGGAGGAAGCTACCAAAACCTGCCAGTACAATAAGAGAGATGCAAACCAGAGCCACAATGATGTGCTGCAATCCCGAAGGAGCACAATTCAAATCCATCAGATGTTCTGCTGGAGAAGGAGGGACAATCTCCTCCTGTGCCAGTCAGATTTGATTCTACAGTACACAACAACAAAAATAAAACAGAAAAAAAAATACCAAAAACAAACCAAAAAAACTACAATGAGATACCATCTCACTCCAGCAGCAGTGGCAAGGTTTAACAGGAGGATGTGGAGAGATAGGAACCTCTGTACACTGTTGGTGGGACTGTAAAATGGTACAACCACTCTGAAAGGCAATTTGGTGTTTCCTCAATAAGCTGAACACAGAAATTCCATATGACCTGGCTATTCCATTGCTTTGGAATATACCCAAAGAAAATGAGGACTGAGGCTCAAATGGAAACTTGTACAACAATGTTCATAGCAGCATTATTCACCACTGTAAGAACATGAAAACAGCCCAAATGTCCAACCACAAATGAATGGATTGAGAAGTTATGGTACCTTCACATGATGGAACACTACGCAGCCGCAGGAGCAAGGGTTCTGTAAATCACTACCTAACTTGGGATGGACTGGAGAGCAGCACTATGCGGAGTCAACTAACTCAACCCCATCAGGACAAATATCAAGTAAGACCATTTTTGTAGAACGAGTACGAGGATCCAAGGGGGGAGGGTGAGAACAAAGGGGTGAGGACAGGCAGGGGGTGTTATTCATAGGGTCGCACAATTTGATGGCTGGAGCGTAGGGTGGGAAAAGCAAATGGGAAAGACCTGGTATAAAAAACAATGTTTATGAACTTTGTAAATAAACTAGTATAATAATAAGAAGAAGAAGAAGAAAGAATATATAGAGGAAAACTTAAACAAAACCAAACTTGCCAGTAACAGAAAGCACCCTCTGAGGCTCAGCTGCTCTCCCAGACGAAGCCCAAGATTGAGCTGCTGTTGGAACAAAACAGGGCCAGGGAACTGGGAGCTGCAGGGCCCTGGGGAGATCCAGACGGCAGCCAGCAGGGAGAACGAGCCCAGGCCAGGACCCAGCCAGCGCAAGAAGATGGGGCTGATAGCGTGTTGTAAGCAGCACTGTACTGGCTCTGGCTCAGCTTATTAACAGACAGGGCAAAGCCAGGCCAGGCCAGTGTATTCGGAAATTCTGCCTGCTCAAGAACGGCAGAGAATGGAACTTCGGAATGGACAAATCCTGAGAAACTGCCCTTGTACAGTAGAGACCTGGCAGCCCGTGACTGGCAGGAGCAGCGCATGTGACAGGTGTTCCTCACGGCCCTGCTTTCTGTGGCCGCCCGGGGATTCTTCCTGAAAGGACTGCTGGTCTCCATCAAAGGGCCTTGACTCTGTTTCCGCCAACACAGGGGCTGCACCCTGAGAAGGCCGCTTTATGTAGCTCTGACTGAGGTGGGAGATGGGTGTGAAAAAGAACCCTCAAAGGGTTCTGCCCCTGACTTCAGCGAAGCAGAGCTCTGTGGGAGCAGGGCGAGAGTTGGGGTCGTGGGCTGCCAGAGCTCTCGGGACAGGTCCGCCCTGTTGTGAGCCAACAGGAAGATGGCACAGCAGACCACAAGTTTCAGGGCGAGGGGTCCCAAAGGCGTCCTAGGACCATTTTCTCCCTTGCCCTGCCTTTGGCTCCCTAACTCCCCCTGGAGCTTCAAGAGAGCTTTTAATACCTGCCTGGACCCAGTGCTGAAGACGAGACTGCGGTCAGACAGCACACAGAAGGCAAAGCAGAGTGGTTAAGATCAAGAGGGCCTGCATGTGGAAAAGACCAGCAACTTCTCCCCTCTGGGTCTCAAGGCCTGAAGTCGAAGACTCACCCAACACTGAAGCCCCTTCCGGTCAGGGGTCTTCTGAATCTACAACTGGTTATACTGCTGCCTGCCCAGCACCTGCCTTCTGGTATCTTAGCCGGACCCGCTTCCGCCGTTCCTCAGCAACTTACTTGGCTTTGTTTATAAAATGATACGCTTCGTTCCAATGGGCGAGGAGGTCTGTGGTCTCTTCGTCGTAGACGCGGATGTTATGGTATGCGAATAAACCAGGGAAAAAGTTATCTATTTCTCTCGTTACATTCAAGATGTAGTCAACGCTGTGGTAAGGAAAACAAACAAACAAAAGAAATAAATGCAGAGATTCAGAACCAGGAGCGAAAAAAGGGGGGAACCCTTAAAACAAAAAACCCCACATACCTCAAACCAAAAAAACTGAGCTATGAAAAAAAAAAATAAAATGCACTAAAACAGTAATAAAGGCCCTATGTTTGGCGGTAGCAGCAGCATCCACTTCCTAAACCACACATCTCTGGAAACTATGAACTTGGAGAAATAGTGAGTTAGAGAACGGCTTCCGGCCTTTGTTCATGGGGTCGCTATGAGTCGTGCCTGATTCGACAGCAATCAACAACAATGTGTTGTGCTGGTGTTTTTATTTTTACATAGTAATATTTTCCCCCCTAAATGCTTTCATAAAATATAAATGCATTATAAATAAACAACAAAAAAGAAAAATTATTAAAAATGACTTAAAAAATCCTTTCAATGTACTGCAGAACAATATTGCTTCTAGAGAAAAAAAAAATCCTAATCTCCTTTATTTTTTAAATAAAGCAGGATCTAAATAAGGATTTGACAGGATTCATCAATGGCCTGCTTTTTTTCCGCCAGAGGGTCAGCTATGGGTCGGTTCGACTCAGTGGTCCTCCACCACCACAATAATCCATACTTAGAATTTCAGGAGTCAAAAAGCATCTCAAATGAATATTTAAGAGAATACTTGTAAATGCTTGAAAAAGACCTTTAAGATCAACTGCTGTCAAATAGAATCCAAGTCTCAGCAACCCTGTAGGACAGAGCAGAATTGTCTCCCAAAGTTTCCCAAGACTGTAAGCTTGACAGAAGCAGACTGCTACATCTTTCTCCCGTGCAGTGGCTAGCGGCTTCGAACCACTGGCCTTCTGGTTAGCAGCAGAGCGCTTCACTATTGTGCCATCAAGGGTTCCTTGAGGACCCTTTAAGAGTCACTTGTTTATTCCCGGCATTTTAATAATACGTTCGGCTGACAGAACCAGCCACTCTTGAGACGTTATTTTAAGAGCTGTTTAGTCTTGATTTTCAAATGAAATCATTCAAGAAAGTCAGCATGTCAGACCCGCAAGACAGCAATTCTGTGGTTATGTGGTTTGTGGTGTGTTTTTTTTAAATGCTTGGACATCTGTTTCTAAAAGTCCAGATTTAGAGTCCCATCCCTGCTGGAGGCTCTGCAGACTCAGGCTCAGGTGGGGGTGCATTTCTGGCCAGTCTTCAGCTCCAGGGTGCCTCTGTGGGCCCAGAGGTGCACAAACTTGGAAGAGAAGCGGAGCTACAGGCTCCCCACTGGGACACAGACCCACGTGTGCACAGTGGGGATTCTCGGCACCTCTGAGGGTGAGGAGAGGGGCGGGGCACCTACCCTGTCTCTATCCAAGCCACCTTCCCATTTCTGTGTGATTTAGAAGCCTCCTCTCCACCACGTACAATCATGCCCACCCCAGGCGAGTCTAAAGCCTGTGATGTTTCAAGATGTGGTATTTTGAAGTGGATCCCTTGGGCTCTGCCCTTCAGTCCTGCCAGCCACTTAAGTGAACTGTGTGGTGGTGATCAGAGGCAGGCCTGCAGCGCTGGGCATTTCAGAGGACTGCCTGGGAGGACGTGGGGAAGGGGGGATGAGGACAAGGGGCGCAGACTCACCCTGAGCCCTGCAGCTCCTCCAGATTGGATGCATTCCATTCAGAGCCCTGGAGGACAGATGACACAGACCCTGTGAGTGCCGCATGCAGCCCTTGGAGGTGTGGGTGTTTTGCCCTGGCCTGACTGGGGGTGGCCTTTTGTGGGCCTGGGCTGAAAGAAGGTGGCAGATGTGTGACAGAGAGGGAGAGGAGGGGAGGCGACAGGCCCTCACTCACCGGCCTCTAAGGAAACCAGCTCCTGGTCAGTCTCCTGCTGGTTTTCCTCAGATGCGAATGTGGTCCTGTAGCTGGAAGTCATGACCCCTCGCCTGCCACAGAGCAGAAGAGGCCTCCCTGACAGGCCCCTTGTTAATTTAGGGCAACATACACTTTTTCAGCAAAGTATTTTGGCCGTGTTTTAAAAGATTCATATCCTCTGGCCCAACAACTGCAGCTACAAAAAGCAATTCGGAGGAGATAATTCGAATTCACATGGAGATTTGTGGACAAGGATGCCTACAGTTACTGAGAATAACAACGGTTGGCACAATCCCTACGGACCAGCGAGAGGAAATTAGGAGGGTAAATGAGGACCGAGCTGCGTGATGGGAGCGTTCAAATAAATCGTGCTTTTAGGAGACTAGCTGATGACATGGGGAAGCGGCGTGTAATGGAAAACAGAAGGAGAGGAAGCGAGTGGTGACATTCCATGTGCCACTTAATTCTTAACATTTTTTCTTTTCTTTCTCTCTTTTTAAAAGAAGTTATTTATGGATTCAAAAGCGAAAAGATGGGAAAAATAAATATTCCAAACTGTCAACAAGGATTACCCCTGTCTTTGTGGATGCGAGAATGCCTTTTCTCTGCGCCTCTTGGTGTATTTATGCTTCCAAACTTTGTACACCAAGCTTCTGAAACGAGGACCAGAGTCAATGTCTGGGTAGTCACAGAACGTTGAAGGGAGATGGTCACCCCGCTCTTAGGAAATGCAGGTGACTCACAGTCAGCAGGAGGACTGGGGTCACCCAGTGTCCCTACAGGCCTCCTTCCATTCCCAGAGGGCCTCCCCTGGGGCCCAGATCAAGCTGGCAATCTGCGGCATCAGCGGGGCTTTCATATTTTAGGGAGAGGCCAAGACATAAAAATTCCTTTAGTATCTCTCATGGAAAAAGTGACATACAGCACCAAGCCAGGCAGAGAAAATAAAAAAGCCCAGTTAAGGCTGCGTGTCCTTTCCACGACTGCCACCTAGTGGAGCAAGACGGCAGGAGGCGTCTTCTCCCCGCTTTCACCAGTGTCCTCCAAGGTGGGAGACAAGAGATATTTAAAAAGGCAATCATAATAATCATAATCATAATAATAATTACTATTTTTTAAAGATAAAAATAGAGATACAACCTGTAATAGAAAACTCCTAATAATACCTGCTTCTCAGTGTGAATTTGCTGAGTCACAGTAAAGACAAAAGAAACATGGGATTTATAAGGAAAAAAGATATAGCTAAAAATCTAAATGACTTAAAGGGTAAAGAGTTGCACTAACAACCCAAAGGTAGGCAGTTCAAATCTTCCAGGCGCTCTCTGCAGGGGAAAGAGAAACAGTCTTGCCCCTTGCAATTTACAGCCTCTGAATAAAACGCGGCTAAGGGTCAGCTGTGAGTTGGTTCTGACTCGACGGCACTTAACAACATATACGACTGAGCAGCCCAGTGGTGCAGTGCATGGCGAGCTGCCTGGCTAACTCAAAGCTGTGTCTCTCCGGTGGTTCGAATCCATCAGGAGAACAAATGGGCCACGTCTTCCCATGTGATATACAGCACAGAAATGCAATGGAAGGTCAGCGACGCGTCAGTCTCAACTCCACAGTAATGAACGTGTGGGATCTGGCACTGTCTAGACACCATTTCGATGTCTACTCTCTTTCCCCTGCTCCTTCTCACTGCTGAGTTGGTCCTGACTCACTGAATCCTTTTTTGTCTCTGAGGCTGTACATCGCAAAGGGAGGAGATGGGCTCACCTTTCCTCCAAGGAGTCGTGGGTGGATTTGAACCATCAGAGGTGTGTGCCCTTTGGGTTAGCAGTGCAGTTCCCTGTGGGCTATGCCGCCAGAGCCTCCTTCTATACACATTCTGCCTCACGCTGATTCTGGGTGTGCAGAGTGGAACACAGCTGCGACCTTCTGGCAGCGGATCACCAGGCCTGTCTTCCTAGGCACCACTGAATGGGTTGGAACGGAGGATCTTTCACTTTGCAGCTGAGAGCTTAACCAGTCCCGACCAAGGGATTCTCTTTGGGTCTCTCCGACATGCATCGAGCACCATCTGCTGCTGCTATCAAGTTCGTTCTCAATCAGAGGGACCCTTCACTGGCCTTCTGAGGCTGTAAATCTTTACAGGAGAAATGCCCACCCTTCTCCTAGGAAGTGCCTGATGGATTCGAACCACCTGCCACACTACGCACTAAGCCAGCAGGGCTCCTCGAGATGCATCCAGAGAACTATCAGGTGCTTCCTAGTCTGGAGGGTGATGTGCTAATCAAAAGGCTGTGTCGCCAGCAGTTCCTACTCATCAGCTGCTCCAAGAGAAAGACAGGCATTCTCCTCCAATCACGATGTATGTTAGGAACCTGGTGAAGGGCTGTGAATAGGAATCAGCTTGATGGCAGCTGGAATTTGACAGGGAGAAAGCATAGCCACTAATGTCTTCAGTGGCAACTTCCCCAGGAGACAAATAATAAAAACAGGATAGATTCGATCCACTAGCCTTCTGGGTAGCAGTCAGGTGCTTTAACCAGCAAGCTGCTAGATATTCTACAGGAACTGCACTCAGGGTGTTGAACGTGTATTATGCACAGTCCCTGCAAGGCCCCTGTGAGGTGCAGGACGATGAGCACTGGGCGAGGGCTTGCTTCCAGCACATGGTGGGCATGAGGCCTGGTGGGCCTGCCTTCCATCCCGACCTACAGCCTTAATTTTTACAAATGTGCCCCCTTCTTTCTTGTCTTTGAGAGGAGGCTGGTTGCCACCTATGGAGATTTACACCATAAACAGCATCTAAACAAGAGAAAGTGGTAAAGAGTGTCCGTATGACTCGGGGCCTGCACTGGGGCTCGCTGTCACGCTGGATTTGGAGGAGAGCAGGGTGTCTCTGGCTGGGGAACCCCATCGGGAGGCAATATTTCAGTGGCTTGTGGGTCTCACACTTTGGGAAGGCTGGGCCAACATACTCCTGGGGTTAGATGATTTTGCTTCCTTTAATAAGGGGGTCATGAGAGCACCCCTTCAGCTGAGAGCTTAGAGGACGGGATCCTCTTGCAACTGCCCCAAGGAGGCAAAGGGCTGGGAGAGTCTGAGAACGACTGTCAGCTGACTATGACAAAGGGCTTTCAAACAGCTGCCTGCAGCTCAGCTGGGTGCCACCTCTTCACCAACCAGTTGGAGGGCAGGGCACTGGGCTGTGGCCAGAGTGGAGGGTCAGGAGGGGAGCTGCTGTAGAAGGGAAACTGAAGCCCCTGGAACTAAATTCTGGGCCTGCTCGCCCCCTACCCTGTCCTTTTCCTCACTGCCAGCTCCCAACAACCTGGGCTTCGCATCCCTAGCTAGATGTGCCACGTGCAGAGCCTCTTACGAGATAGAGGTGGTCGAAGATAAGGGAAGGCTTGTCCATTTGTCCCAGGATCAGGAGCATCTCGTTGTCAATGAATTCCTTGAATTCTTTCAAGTTACAGTTCATCTGCTTCTCCAGCTCGTTTCGTATCTGTGGAGCGCAAGAGCAAGAGATGAGGAGACATGATGGGACTAAAGGGAATGGTTTTCAAACAAAGGCGTTTGGGTTTGTTTTCTCAGAAAACAGCTATTTTCATTTAAATGCGCTCAGCATACGGGCAGAGCGGGAGCCCGAGCTCCGATGCCAGCTCACCCTGCATCAGGTTCCCAGGCTGTTACCTGCCAGGAAGGAGACCACCGTTCTTCCTCCCCCGGAGCAGTGGGCCGATCCAAACCGTGGGAGAGCTGTGGCCCAGGGCTTAGCTACACAGCTCCCCACAGACTATGCCACCAGTTGTTAGGTGCTGGCAGGTCAACAACTCACAGCGACCCTGTGAACAGTGGATCGGAACCTTGCCATCCCATCATTTCTGATACACTTGAGCCTGAGTTAATTACAATTATTGTGTCAACCCATCTTGTTGAGGGTCCTCCTCTCTTTTGCTGACACTCCACCTTTCCAAGGTTGATGGCCTTCTCCAAGGACTGGACCCTGGTAACAACATGCCCAAAGAGCTCCCTCTAAAGTCCGTTATAAAATATACACCAATTTTTCAGAATGATGCAGAAAAATAGTGAAAGGCTGAGAAGACAGAGACTGTCAAGGACAAACAACCTGTCTCTAAGTTGTCAGTTGTTGTTGTTGGGCACTGTGGACAGTCCAGTGGGTTTTCAGAGGGAGTTAATCGCACGGGAGGAGACTGCCCATCTTCCTCCCGCTGAGTGGCTGGTGGCCATGAACTGCCTGCTTTTGGGACTGCAGCACAGCTTCTTGCCACGTGGCAATATTTCAAGTAAACCAGAAGGCAGAGTTCAGGCAGAGGGTGGAGAACACTACCACCTATGTACCTACTGAATTCTCACGTCTTGCGAATGGGGCTCAGAGAGGTCAAGAAATTGGTCCCTCGCTCCTCTGGGAAGCCGCGGGGTGGGACTCATACGGAGGCTGACCTCTCAGGCCGTGTTCATTCCCCCCCGCCCTGCTTCCTTAGTAGTGAGAGGCAGAAACAATACCAAGAGCTGATGGCAGATGGGATCGCAGATGCGGCAGGCAGGACTCTGCCACACGCCTGGGAGCAGGGGACACCGTGCCACGTGTCCCTGGCCTGCAGGAACGGGGGCTCACTTACTTCTTTGGAGGTCACATTCTCCAGATCCTGGCTCATCATAATGCTGCGGAGCCTGGCTTTGATGAGGCGCTCGGTCCTCTCCCCTTCCGTTGGCCTGGAAGGAAATGCTCATCAGGGAAGCACAGAACCCTGGGAGGCCGCAGGTCAGAGCACGCACACCTCTCTCCTGGGTCTAACCACTACAAGGTGCAGATGCATGGCGCCAACACCCGTGTGTGTCCTTGGGGTGCAGAAAGGCCCGCTCCCTCCCCCTTCATTATGGAGGGGGTATCTAAGAGCAACACCCTCATCCTGCCCGTGAGTTCAGACTGGACACAAAGCTCTCAAAACCCTAGGTCACCTTAGAGTCAGGTGAGCAGGCCATCACCTGCTCAAGGAGACAGCTCCTTGCAAATCCTAACCATTCTATGGGTCTCAGGTTGTGACATCCACAGAGCCCACAGACACAGGAGTCCACAGACGGCAGAGCAGACCAAGAGGACAGACCACAGGCTGCTGACTGGCTCCTCCACCAGGTCTTGCAGAGGTACTGGGGAAAGGAAATCTGGAGTAGCTGGTGGAGCATCCCCACACAATGAGGAAAAAACAGAGCTAAGAAGGCGGAGCCTCAGGACTACCAAGAGTGGCCAGGAGTGGAGTGTGACCTTCTGGGTTTGGATCCCTGCATTGGGAAATTCCCTGACACCAAGAATGGCCAGGACACGTGGAGACCTCCAAGGAACACAGACAACAGACGCTGAAGGAGACAAGGACCTTCCTCTTCCAAAACCATTAGAGGCAGCAGTCCTGTCCCTTGGGCCGGCCCTGACTTTGGACATGAGAATACTGTCTGTCCATGAAAGCTCTCACTTGTGGTGGCTCTGTTAGAGATAGAAGCATTAGAGGCTGTGCTCCATCAAGATGACAATGACAGATTTTCTAGGAAGTACCTCTTCTGAGGCACTTCTAGGAGGACTCAAACTAGCAATCTTTCTGTTTACAACCAAGTGCGTTAAATGTCTGCACAACACAGAAAGCCCAGGCTAACCCTTCCTTCACGTGACAACCCTTCACTCACTCCTCCTAGGCCCTCTTGTTTCTTTTAGGTCTTGGAAAACTTGGTTTGGGGCCCTACTCCTCTTTGTTGCTGCCAAGTCAATTCTGATTCACAGATATTCTGTGTGTCAGGGTGTAAGAGAGCTCCCTTAATGTTTTCAGGGGCTGATTGTCTGAAAGGAGATGACCAGGCCTTTCTCTCGTGACACGACTGGGTGGATCTGAACTGCTAACCTGTTTATAGCTGGGCACTTAAGCATCTGTGCCCCCATCTCCCCGAGATTCCACTCTCCTCTGAACACCCTGAGTTGGTCCGGAGCCCTCCTAGAGTACAGAGGCACACAACACACTGAAGCAAAGGGGAGCTCTAGCTAAGGAAAGAGGGACAGCTTCCTCCTTACTGCACTGGACTTTGAGGAATGTGGTCTCAGAGTGGACCAGCTCTGTTGGTGGCCATCAGATGCCCTGCGTTACTGCTGCTGCTGCTAAAGCAAGCTGCCTTTGACTTGTGCTTCTGTTTTAGGATCCGAGGAACAGAGTGTTGTATTCTGAATTTTTCCGACAGCAGAAGTATCTCTCCAGTCAGTCTCCAGACTTGGAGAGGACGGTGAGGCCACAAAGCGCTGTCCAGGAGCCGGTGAACTCTGTGGAATACACAGTGCTCTGAGAGCCTGGTGGGAGTTCTGGACCTGCTCCTTGGCCACTTACATGTTCACCTAGCACTTCTAGGGGGTTCACCTAGCACTTTTAGGGGGGTGTCAAAGGCCATTCCATTTACCGAGTTGACCGATGGGCTCGCATTGTTATTATTGTTAAGCATGACGACGACGACTCAGAGACCCTATGACCAAAAGACCCGAACCCTGTTCTATTACTATCATTTCTCTATGTTCATAGTTTCTGAAGGTATGCTGTTTAGGAAGTGGGTGCCAATCCTGCTTCCAAGCCTGTCTTAATCTGGGAGCTCCACCAAACACTATCCACAACGGGTAACCATTATGGCATCTGACACACCAGTGGCACAGCATTCAGTATCACAGCAACTCCAAGTTATCCAGTACAGCAAACTGACAGACCAGGGCTGTACCACTCAGAAGAATGTTCTTCCCAAATATAATTAACATGGGTCCCAGGAGTCCTGTACAGACTAGGGCAGAGAGTGGGCCACCTGAGGGGGCCAGGGCGTGCATTCAGGTGAGTACGTCCACACTTACTTGTCCACGTACAGGGCCGGGGAGTCGGGCCGCGTGGACTCCAGGTCCTGCATGGCATTCCACTCGTTGATGCAGCTCTGCTCTGAGCTGATGCAGCTTTCATAGTAGGTGGCCCAGATGAGGGCCACACCACCGGGGAAGTAGTTGTGCCTCCGTGCCACCTCACAGGCCTTGTGGAGGACCTGCAGGGCCGACCTGGAGGGAGAAAGCCACAGCATCAAGCCTGGGAGGCCTAGGAAGCCAGGTCAAGGAGGGCCCATCACCAGGCTCCTTCCTGCACAGAGTGGGGTCAGGGAGATGAGACAGACTCAGTCACAGCCAACCTCATTCAGTCAGGGAACAGACAGAACATGTCACCATTTCCAAAATGGGGGGAAAATTTCCTAACTCTAAGATTGGGATAGTTCAAGTGACAGTTTTTCATTCTATCATTTAGTGCCAATGAATTAAGGTCTACTTTAATGATGCAGGGCCTACCTTGAACCTGCAGCAGACATTCTACAATGTTTTAAATAACTCCATTCCTATGCCCTCACCTTCTGAAACATGACCCTCACTCACTGTGTCCAGTCGGAACCGACTCACAGCTGATCCCTCACTGGGTTCCTGAGTCTGTAAACTGCTCAGGAGGAGGAGACAGCTTATCTTCCCCCGGCAGAGACGAAGGTGGACCCAAACCACCGGAGAGGTGCCCTTTGGGCTGGTGAGCACAACTCCCTACAGCCTAGGCCAGGAGAGCCTCCTTCAGCAGCGTCGTCGCTGTTGGCAGCCACTTATTCCAGCTGCTGGTGACCTGAGTGCAGAGCAGAACTGCCCCACGGGGTTTGCAAGGACGAGACCTTCCAGAGCAGATCACCAGGCCTTCCTTCCACAGCCTCTCTGGGTGGGTGTGAACTGCAACCTTCAGGTTCACAGTCAAGCTTGTTTGTCCCAGCAGGGGCTGAAGCTTCGAGTTCCGAGGAAGTGAGTTTTAGAAGCTCCTCAGGACACAGACATTAAGTAAAGAAGAGGTTTGGGGAGGCACAGCAGGGCAGAAGAAACAACACTGCTGTGGTGTGCTGTGGAATTGGAAGCGACTCAGCTGACCCTCCAGCGGGTTTTCAGAGGCTGTCAACTGTGCAGAAGGAGACTGCCCATCCTCCCACAGAGCAGCTGGTGGATTCAAACCCTGTGCTTTTGGGACTGCGGTGCAGTTTCTTACACCTGGGCTACCAGAGATCCCTAAAACAATACTAAAAACGTAAATAGCCAACTGGTTCTCTCTCATTACAGAAACAGGCCGAATGCTGCTTAGTGACTGAGGTGAACCAGGTGTCAATCAAGCACGAGGTTTTGAAGTGAGCAGTCTTCGTCCTTCTCACTTGTAACCTGTCTGCGAGCTCGGGGCTGGTGGAGAATGCTCTGTATTAAGCAGGCTTACTTCTGGCCCGAGTCCTAACTCAAAGGCGGTGCCTCTCTAGGGCTTCACCTCCACCAGCTGTTCCTCTGCGCCAGAGAAAAGACCAGCAGTCTCTCCTGCGATCCCCAGCCTCCTGAAAGGCCACTGGAGGGTCTGCCAGGAGTCAGTTCCCATCTGATGGAATGAATCTGAGTCTGAGCAGAGAAGGAGAACAAATTACGTGAGGCCCGGGGCCAGCGCTGGGTGAGGCTGACCTCCCGGGGTGAGAACGATGATCCAGAACGGACAGCGGTGGGGAGTCACTGAGGGCAGAGGTGAGGCATGGCAGGGACTCTCTGCTCACACCAGCTGTGCGGGATCTGGGCAGAGTGCTGTGGGGCCCAGGGAGGAGCCGACTGCCTCTCCTCCCCGGGCAGGACAGGCCCCCGGCCGTATCTGCAGTGAGGCGGCTGTGCAATGCTCCAAGGCGGGCTCCCAGACGCACGCGGAGCAGAGGAACTGGGGAGGTGCCTCACGCCACCTCGCATGGCCTCCAGCTACAGCTAATGGGTCCCTGGAGCAGAGAACCTCAGGGAGGCCTCACCCACTCAGCTCTCAGCTGGCAACGTCCCTGGCACCCCAGCAAACAACTCTTAGCACTTGCCTTTCATAATATTAGACTATGTATGTTTTCATGGTCACTTTCCTCAAGAAACAGTAAACCCCACAAGGACAAGACCTGAGCTTGCGCCAACCTAGCTGCTCCATGTAACCCCACCCTGCACACAATGTTGTTACTGTTATGTGCTGTAGAGTTGCTTGTGACTCATACTGACCCTACATTCAGCAGCCTGGAAAACCTGCTCTATCCTGGGCCAACCTTATGGTCGCTGACACACCTACCCTCATTACCCCAGTCACTGACTCAATCCATCTCACTGAGGGTCTTCCTCTCATGCGCTGTCCCTCCACCATTCCAAGCATGACGTCCCTCTCCAAAGACTGGTCTCTTCTTGCAACATGACCAAAGTGTGTCACAAGGAGCTTCAGAATCCTTGCCTCCAAGGAGCAGCCCGGTTTCAACCTCTCCAAGACCAACCTATTTATTCTCCTAGCAATCTATGGAATAGTTGATACTCTTCTCCAGCACCACAGCTCACAGGCACCAATTCTCCTTCTATCATCCCTGGTCATTGTCCCGCTCTCTGATGCATAGTAAATAACTGCAAATGCCTGTATCAGGTGCACCTTAGTCTCCAGACTGACATCGTTGCTCTTCAGCACTCTGGAAAGGTCCCTGACAGCCGATTTTCCCAATACATTTTGTTTTTTGATTTCCTGACTGCTGGTAGCAAGAATGTGTGTCTACTATGTCCCAGGCACACAGCTGAGGGTTTTAAGCTGGATGGATGCCTCGTCCACAAGGAGGGTGCTGTTGTTCACTGCTGCTGAGCCGGCTCCAGCTCATAGGGACCCCATGGAAACAGAACGGAAGGTTGCTGGCTCCCATGACACCGTCACAATTATGAGGATGTTTGAATCCATTTGAATGTTGCAGCCAGGTTGCTTGGCCTTTTATCCAAAGCATCTCTGGGTGGGTTCGAACGCTAATCTTTAGGCTAACAGTCCAGCTTGAAACTCCTTGTGCCAACCAAGGACTAAGAACAGTGTAGATGCTAAGAACTGTCAAGGAAGTTGAGTTCTAGAAGCTCTGGATTGTTGGAGCTAGTGTGGTGTGTTGTTTTTTTTTAAATATTCCCTTCTTTTTCTAGAGTAGATTAGATTTATTGCAAAGCAGGAACAGTAAACAATTTTATAATATTAATTACAATACCCCCAATACAATCACTTTCCCCACTCTTTCTAATTTCCATCAACTCTTCTCTCCTATTCCTTCCTGCCTTAGGGGGGTTTATCTTTGAACAAATGCTGCTCTTTTGACATTCTATGTTTGGTTATTTTAGAATATTTTTATAAACAAATCATGCAGCTTTCAAATTGTGCACAATATAAGTTGCCAGTCACAATAAAGCTACTATGTTATAACATGGGACAGAATGAGATAGTATTACCGCTTTACTAAAGCAGCCCTTTCAAAGTGTAGTGTGTAAAAATACACTGATTTAGAAGTTGCCACTGTGTTTCTACGTTCATTTTAAACCAGGGCAGCTCTGGTGGCACAGTCTAGAATGTCCTGCCGGCCCCATAGGAGAAAGAGGGGCAGTCTCTGCACATTCGGATTTGTTGTTGTTGTGTAGAGTTGGAACCAACCCAGGGTTGCCCCTCCAGTGCACTTTCAGAGGTAATAAATTGCACAGGAGACCGCCCATCCTTCTCCTGTGGAGTGGCTGGTGAATTTGAACTGTGTACCTTTGCATTAGTAGTGCAATTCCTTCCCAATAAGCTACCAGAGCCCCCCTGTTTTATAGTCTCACAAATCCACTGTTGTTAGGTGCCACTGAGTTGGGACAAACCTGAACCCTGTTCTATCTGTACACTCTTTGACACACCTGAGCCCACTGCCGCGGCCACTGTGTTAATCTATTTCGTTCAGAGTTTTCCTCTCCTTCGCTGACCCTCCAGCTGTCCAAGCATCATGGCCCTCTCAAAGGAAGAGCCCCTCCTAACAACATGTCCAGAGTATACCGCAAAGCTTTGTTATCCTTGCCTCTGAGGAACATCTCTGAGCTGCACTTTCTCCAAGACATTATCAGTTTGTTGTTCTGGCAGTCCTCGGGGTATTCAGGACTATCCTCCAACCCCACAAAACATCTTCTGTCGTCTTGTTCACTGTCCCGTTCTCCTGTGCAGAGCAGGTGATTAAAAAGACCCTGACTTGAATCAGGTACACCATAGTCTTTCAACAGATATCATTGTTCTTCAGGACTTTGGAGAGGTCCCTCACAGCAGACTTTCCCAATACGTCTCCTGATCTGACATAAATCCAGTGGAGGGCCACTCTGAGTTGGGACTGATTCAATGGCAGTGACTTTTAAGTTTTCTATCCTAGGACATTTACCTGCCAGCACGATATTGGCCAACATTCTGTTGGGATCCAATAATTCATTTTCAGGCATGGATTGGCAGGCCTTTCTTCCTACTCTCTCTTACCCTGATAGCTCTGATGAAACCCCTCTACCCCGGGTGACCCTGCTGGAATTTCAGGTGCTTCCAGCATCACAATACGACCAGAGTGTTACAGACTGACAGATGGATGTGCAAAAAGAATCCAGCTCAGTGAGCTTAAAGGTAAGAAGAGTTCTCGTGCCTCTCCTGGGGCTCGGAAAGCTCTTCTCCGGACGTGAGGAACTGCACTTACCACATGGCCTGGACGGACACGGGCTTAAAGACGTGCAGCCTCCCGGCGGTGCTCACACTGAAGCCGCTGCAGGGGTAAAAAGCAGAAAGAACAAACTGTGGTGAGGAGTCACACCCTCCCGAGCCCTTCCAGACGCAGGGGGATGGCCGCAGCCCACCGGGGTCACCCTGACAGCATGCTTGTCTCCCGCAGCTAATGAGGGTCTACAGAACCTGCTCAACTTCGAGACGGGACGAGGGCATGGAAGGGTGGGGGGGTCTCGAATCCTTGATCCTTGTTTTCCCTCCATGATGTGAGTTCTACCCCAAACAAAGCTCCAAAGAACGCAAGCTAACCTCATTTCCTTTTTCCTTCTCTAAGGTTTTCCTGCACACCCCAAACCCCTATTGTAGGCACCCCAGAAAATGTGAATGGAGAAAATAAAATTTTCAAAGGACGTATCTCTCCCTGAATCCTACCACTTTTGACACATCAAAATCTCCCTCCCCCGGCCCCAGTTCCATCAGAAGCTCTGGTGGCTAAGCTGTGAGGCCAATCCACCAGCTGCTCCGCAGGCCAAGGGTGGGCAGTCTCTGGAAATCCACTAGAGGGTCAGCTATGAGGTTCTGACCCCGCGGCACATAACACCAACAGTTCTATCTACAAAGTAAAGGGAACCTTGGACCAGTGCATAATTCCAACTGTGAGCCAACTTCCAGGGCTGCTTTCCTCTCCAGGGCTGGGACAGGACACTTCTGCATTCCCTGTCCACTTGCCCTGGCCAAATGGGAGAACTCCTCCTCTGTGGGCCCCAGGTGGCACTTGAGACCAGAACTGAGACCTCTCAGGGGCCAGCCACGTGGAAGGCATGATGTGAGAATTCATTTAACAAACCAAGGTAAATGAAGGAAGATTCTTTACTCTTATTCTTGGATCATATCCCGTACCAGGTCTTCTCTAACAAGCTTCCTTTGATATCTTATGACCAGAACTCTGTTATATAACGTCCTGTGCAGTGCATGGCTGGACAATGGTATTTCACTGAAGGCTGCTAACCTAGAGGTTGGCAGTTCTAACCTCCTCATCTACTCTTTGGAACAAAGGCGCGGTAATCTCTTTTAAGAAAAAGAAGTTCCTATAGGAACCCCTATAGGGCAATGTTGCTGTGTCACGTGGGGTTGCGTGAGTAAAAATGGCAACAGGTTTGCTTTTGGTGGTTGACAGACGCATGTATGGTGGGGTGGTTCTGCTGCTCAGCCGAACAAGCCAGGCCACCAAGCACGCCGGGAGGACCTGTGGGCTGCCTCTGCTCACCCGTCTCCGTCCAGGTGGATTTTTGTGTCGCTCCAGAGTCGGAGCACCATCCCGATGGTGCAGCTTTTACTACAAGGGAGGAAAAGAGAAGACTCGAGTTAGTGCCCGCTGGCTGACCTTTTCCGGCTCTTGGCAGAGGTGCCCCTCTACCCGGGAGGGGTGGCGGGCAGGGACCACCTAGAGTCAAACTCTACAAACATGAGGGAGTGATAGCAGCTCTGGGTGGGGTGTCCCATGTCCTCTGTTAGCACCTGCTTCTCCTGTGGTCACCTCCTGGACCCAACTCATGGGTAGAGTCACAGCATGCTCTGACCCTGGCAGGACTTAAATAGCAGGTCAGCCTGGGTGCTGCGGTCCAAAGAGCCGCAGGCTGACTGCATGTCCACACAGCAGGGGTGCTGAGGCTGGGGGGCAGGCAGGCTTCCAGCAGAAGGCTGATTGCTCTGGGGGACACACCGGGAGGGCCTGGGAGCTGCCCCAGCCTCTCATTCTGGGGGAGCTGGAGAGTCTCACCATCCTGGGGGTTCATGGTTTGAATGAAAACCATCTGCATTGGTATGGTTTGAAAACCTGCACTTTCTAAGAATGAAATGATATCTAGGCCCAGAACAGAGAAGGGAGGGCTTTACCAGAGGGTCTTGAAGATGAAGGTGCCCCTTGGCCTCCAGGTATGCTGACCATATGGGAAGAGGACAGCATTCAAACCAGTCTCACTAGAAAGCAAAGGCGGGTACCCACGTATCCTCTCAGAACAGTGACCAGGGATGTGACCGTACCAGCACCGCACACTCCCCGAGGTGCCCGCAGCTCTCCTCTGAGGAGTGGCCGGTACTCCTTTGTCACTGTTGGTAGCTGCCATCACACTGGCTCCAACCTATGGTGGCCTTTGTACAATAGAACAACACTCGGCTGGGTCCCCTTAGTAATTAACAGGACAAGCTTTACAGCCTGTGGGCCGTGGTGTTATAAAGGGTTATGTGCTGGCCTGCTAGTTGAAAGGTCAGTGGTTCGAATCCACCAGCTGCTCTGCAGGAAAAACACGGCAAGCTCTGCTGCTGTTTAGATGCATCATCTCAGCAGCCAATGCAGAGGGGATTCTGCTGGCTTAGCGGTAAGGAAGTGCGCTGCCAACTCAAAGGCCTGCAGTTCGAAGGCACCAGCTGATCTGCAGGACAAAGATGGGCAATCTCCGCCAGTATGATTCACAGCCTCTGAAAACCCGCTGGAAGGTCAGTTATGGGTCAGTTCCAACCTGACAGTATATAACAATGGCAACCCAACTGTGGGTTGCCATGTGTTCAAAACGATATGATGGCAATGGGTTTATAGATATGGAAAGCAGGAAGAAACACGGAATTGGGGAAACCGAGTCGATCTGGGAGAAGAATGGCTCTCAGGGGTAAAGCGTGTGTGTGTGTGGTGACTACAGAAGAACACAGGTCCCGGGGCACTGGGGCTGGGGCTACAAGGGCAAGAGAGGCAAGCCACCTTTTGACAGGACTTAAGGTCTAAGCAAAGGCCTGTCCTGGGGTCCCATCCACAGAGGACTCTACCGATTGCAAAGCCCGAGCGGATCGGGGAGGGCTTCATACGGCCCTAGCACTCAGAGTGCTCCCAGTTCAAGAGCCAGCCCAGCGGGCAGCTCGGGTCTCTCAGGAAGCAGGTGCTGATGGGAAACTCTGGAAGCAAAACCTCCGTCACCACTCCGACTCTTCTGTCACAACACCTGAGTGCCTCTCCTTTGGACCCACAGAAGTCACCCTTTGGGGTCAATGCTCATCTGGCTCCTCTGTGAATCAGGGAGACATAAACTAATGGCAGGAATTTAGAAGAATGAGCTTCTCCTGCCTTCCTCAGGCCAAAAGGTTCTGGTGAGGACCTGGGTATTGTCTCTAAGCCATGAGGTGAACATGAGAGCCTGGCTCTGGGTGGTGGGACTGTGGAAGGATAGTGGGTCCCACTGCCCCATAATGTCTGGGCTCAAAGGACCACTGCTTATGGGCAAACAGGAAGGTGTTCTTGAACCTGGCTCGTTGCAGTGGCCCCTTGAGCCCCCTCCTCAAAGCACAAGGACCAGAACTGGCCGGGGGACGGGCATGCAGCAGGCTGTGGCTCCAGCTAACAGACAGGGGGCAGGTGACCTGTATACAAAGCCTGCAGTGGGAGGCACTGAGGGACAGGACCACATGGGACACAGAATCAGAGTGCAGAAGGAATGGCAGGGAGAAGAAGGAGGGAGGGAGAGGCGCATCTCAGTGTGAGGAGGAATGATGAAGAATGGAGGTTGTGTCTGTGTCTAATAATACGTTCATGACCTTGAGACTGCAGGCTCTGAGGGAACAATTCCAGCTGGACGCGCTAGAAAATCCACACTGAATCCTCCCCCGCGGGTGAGTGACTGCACGGATCAATTAATGAATCACGGATGAATAAATGAATGAATGGATGAGGGCTTGTGAGTTCGGAGCGTCCAGGCAGCATGTAAGGAAAGGATTACATTTCTGGGTTAGTGTAAAGGACCAAGCCCAAGTTCTGCCTCTGCTAGTGACTAGGATGGCCCTGGCTTATCACCTTGACCTCTGGGAGCTTCCAGTTTCCTCATCTGTAAAACATGAGTTAGGGATACGTTGTCCCGAGGGAGGGAGCCTGCAGTGTCGTCCGCAGGGAGCTGCACTGATAATCCCAAGGTGACGACTCTCTAGCAGTTCGAATCCGCCAGCATCTCTGAAGGAGAAACATGGGCGATTTGTAGCCTCAGAAAAGCCATGGCAGGTCAGCCTTCCCTCTCCCTCTCATGAATCGGGGCCGACTCAATGGCGACAAGACGACCCTGCCTCCCAAAGGAGTTCCCTGGTGGCCCAGCTGGCTCAGCGCACAGCTGCTCACCAAAGGGTTGAAGGAGTGAGTCCATCCAGAGGTCCTTCTGAAATAAAAAGTCCACCAATGTACTTAATGAAGACTCAGTCACTGAGAATCCTGAGGGGTGAAGTCCTACACACACAGAGACACAGAGACACAGACACAGACACAGACACAGACACAGACACAGACACAGACACACACACACACGCACGCACGCACGCACGCACGCACGGTTTGCCATGACTCAGAATTGACAGGACACTAACTGGGACAGTAACTGTTCCCAGGAGGCAGGTTAACGATGAACCGAGGGCTTTCCAAAGGCCCTATGTAAACAATACTGGGGGTTCTACAGCTTAAGCCAGAGAGGGGACTGGAGGAGAATAGGACTTCTGTGGGATTCCAGGGTCAGGCTGCAGCTGTTCAGTGCCAGCACGTCAACGATATCAGAGATGGTGAGGATGGCACAAGACAGGGCAAGGGAAGAGCCTCAAAAAAAAAACCATAGGGCAAGGATCAGATCTGTTATTTATATAAAGAAATTCTTTTAGAAATAACTTATTTTTATACACTATTATAATTTGTTGTTGTTGTTAAGTGCCGTCGAGTTACAGGCGACTCATAGCGACCCTATGAAGGAGAGTCCTCAACACTCTGTGTCTCTCATCCTCTCTCCAGGTTCATGGGGTTTCCGGAGGCAAGCTGTTACAGAAGTGGATGCCACTCCTGCTTCCAAGCTTGTTTTAATCAGGGAGCTCCAGCCCAAACTGTCCGCATTGGGTAACCAGCCATTAACACATTTAACACATCAGTGTCACAGTGTCCAGCCTCACAGCAACCACAAGTGACTGCTGTACGGCAAGTAGACACACCAGGGCTATACGACCTGCCTGCCTCTCATTAATAATAATTCATTATTAATTATCTATATAAGTGCCCTACAGTGTGCCATCCTCACCACCTCTGACACGCTCAAGCTCCTTGTTAGACTCGCTCTACGTCCATTTGTCTTGTTGAGGGTCTTCCTCTCTTTCTCTGACCCTCCAACCTTCCCAGCACTGTGTCCTTTCCCAAGGACTGGCCTCTCCTGACAACATGCCCAAAGCCTGTGAGATACATTTCACCATCCTTACCTCAAGCAGCACCCGCTGCACACCTCAGCTGTCGGCTTCCACTGGGCTGGCAGATACCCTGCCCCAGGCCAGACAGTGTATTTTCTACTCCCCACAGCCTGTGTGCTTGGTTTATGACATCTGCACGCTTGCTCTTTCAGGAACAGCACTTACGTGGCACGTTTTCTGTACTGGGGTGGGGACCTGCAGCTGCTTATTTTATAGTTTTTGTATGTGTATGTTTGACCTGATACACTTGCTGCAGAAGGTCAAGGACTGCAGCCTTCATGGATTGAAGTTCAACATCAAGAAAATAAAGATTCTCACCACTGGGACCACTGGCAGCATCGTGAAGAGATTGAGATTGTTAACACCTTTGGTTTGCTTGGCTCCACAATCGACACTCTTGGTACCAGTAGCCAGGCAATTAAAAGATGAATTGCATTGGTAAAGTCTGCTGTCAGGGACCTCTCCAGAGTACTGAAGAGCAACGATGTCAGTCTGGAGACTAAGATGCACCTGATCCTGACCATAGTCTTTGCAATTACTTGTTATGTGTCAGAAAGCTCAACAATGACAAAGGATGACAGAAAGATAACTGATGCCTTTGAGCTGTGGTGCTGGAGAAGAGTACTGAATATACTATGGACTGCCAGGAGAACAAACAGGTTTGTCCTGGAGAGAGTGAAACCAGGCTGCTTTTTGGAGGCAAAGATTCTGAGGCTTCATCTGACATACTCTGGACATGCTGCAAGGAGGGACCAATCCTTGGAGAGGGACATCATGCTTGGGAGGGTGGATGGACAGGGCAAAAGAGGAAGACCCAGGATGAGATGAACTGGCTCAGTGACTGTGGAAATGATGGTGGTGTGTCAGAGACAATAAGGTTGGCACAGGATAGAGCGTTTCAGGGCTATTGTACACAGGGTCACTATGAGTCGAAAGCGACTTGAAGGTACATAACAAAACAACAACAACAACTAAACACATTAGGAAAGTCTGCTGTCAGGGACATCTCCAGAGTACTGAAGAGCAACGTTATCAGTCTGGAGACTAAGGTGTGCCTTACCCAGGCCATGGTCTCCGTAATTACAT